TAGAGCAAGGGCGGTAAGTTCGGGTAGTAGGCTTGGTATTAGGACACGCTTGACCTTGTGACTGGTAGAATCTGCGAGCATGGGATTTTTAACTACTGCAAGCAACTGGCAGCATCTGATTGATCGCTGGATTACGTTGATCTGATGATTTAAAAATAGCAGTTTCCTCCAGTTGCAATATTGTGTCTTATCGTGTCAATATTTGCTATTGTTCGAGTTTTGAATCATAATATTAATGAGGTAAATAGCCATGACTCATAGTATCAATATTCTTTTTAATTTCAGATCATGGAACGAGATTCACACACAAATTACAACATTCCAGAAAGATTACAGCATTGGGCAAAGATTCATCCGAATTCAGAAGCCTTTGTGTTTGTTGATAAGGATGGTTTAAGGACCTCTCTAACGTGTAAGGAGATTTTAGACCGGTCTGTGTATTTCGCCAGGCAGCTGAGGAAACTGGGTGTACAGCATGGAGAAGTTATTTGTAGTCTGTTACCAGACTCTCCAAAGGGAATTATCGCTTTTTTGGCACCATCCTTGCAGGTTGCGTCATTCTAAATGGAAAGCTTCAACTTAAAGATGGCACTTTTTTGATCCAAAACATAAACAAAACAAAAAGTCCACTTCTTATTTTATCGTCTGATCCTAAAGACGAATGTAGGAAATTATTTTCAGAGATAATCGACAATGGAGACGGCAATTCAGTTTCTTCCAAGACGCTTCCATTTCTCAAGCATGTCTTGTAAACAGAGGTAAACCGAAATATTGGATTCAAATGGGCTAATCAGCTACTAGAAAATGACAACACAGATGATGACGTCATTTGTTACGATGGTAACGCCGGTGCAGTCATAATGTTGACGTCTGGAACAACTGGCATGTCCAAAATGTCGGTCCATTCCCATTTACTTCTCAAATCCATCCTGGAGCCTGTACACTCGAAAAGTCGAAACGGGATGTTGAATTGCTACTCATTCAGTTGGCTACCTGGTTTACCTCACCACTATGTAATCACAGGCTTGAAATCCGTTCACATAGACCAGCGAAATCCTCCTTTGATGCCCTCCATGGGCCAATTTATTTATGACCTCCTTAATCAGGAAAAATGCGATTTACTATCAATAGAATTTACTGTTTTAATGAACTTTTTCAAAGTGATAGAAAATAAAGGAAAACCAAAAGACTGGCCAGAACAAAATGAATGTATTCTTGGGGCTCGACCAATATCTTCCGCTGTCGTTGATCGCTGTTTAACACATTGCAATGTTCTCTACATTTTATACGGGTCTTCGGAAACCAGTTTAGCCATATTTAAAACAATTAGTAAAAATACACCATATGAAGATTTTAACACATGGGTAGCTTGTTCTGGGACAGAGGTTATCATCAGGGATAATAGGAATAATGTCCCGGTACCACCCGGGACTATCGGCAATATCTATGTCAAAACAAAAAATATAATGAAAAGATATTTTGGAGACGAAAAACTGACTAAGGACGCCTTTGACTCTGACGGATTTTTCATTATGAATGATTCGGGATATTTCAATAAAAATGGCGAACTGATAGTTTTTGGTCGAACAAAAGATGTCATAGTCCGAGGTGAAGACTATTTTCATCCCACTTGGATCGAACAAGTCATCAGACGATGTCCTGAAGTTCAAGACGTCATGGTAGTAAAGGTCCCGGATGTTGTGGAAGATCAGGAGATATGCGCATGCGTTGTGCTTGTTCCTGGATCAAAATACAGCGTGGAACAAATAGAAGAATTCTGTATGAATAGTTTTGTCCCTGAAGATCTGGAACATGTACCAGCATGTCCACGATATTTTATTTTAATGGATAAAATTCCTGTCAATCGGAATAGAAAACCAGATAGAATGGCCACGGAGAAATACGCTAAACATTATTTAAATCTCTAAAACTAAACTATATTCTTGTACTTAAAGTTGATTTGATAAATATAAGTTATCACTATCTATGTGTACTCTTTTAATTGGGTGACTGATTCACAAATGCAGATACTGAGTGGCTTTAAGTGTTTCAGAAGAGCGAGTATAAAGAAAGTGATTGTTAATATACCAACATACCATGAAAAGTATGGCGAATGTATCTTTACAATGTCAAACTAGTATGGTATGGTATGTCAATACTGGTGTATGTCTACTTTGGTAAATGTTCAACCTGGTATATGTTCACCCTGATGTATGTTTACCCTGGTGTATGTCCGCCCTTTTGTATATCCACCTCCTCGATGTATGTTCCCCCTGGTGTATGTCTGCCCTTGTGTATGTACCCGTCCTCAGTGTATGTTCCCCCTGGTGTATGTCCGCCCTGGTGTATGTACCCGTCCTCAATGTGTGTTCCCCCTGGTGTTTGTCCGCTCTGGTGTATGTCCCCCTCCTCGATGTATGTTCCCCTTGGTGTATGTCCGCACTGGTGTATGTCTGCCCTGATGTATGTCCATTCATATGTATGTCGGCCCCCGGTGTATGCTCTCCTCCACGATGCATGTCCCCCACACCCCCTGGTGTATGCCACCCCCCTCCCCTCCCACCCCTCGGTGTATGTTCGTACTGATATATGTCCACCCTGGTGTATGTCCTCCCTGCTCCACTCAGGGTGTAACGAAATGAATAAAAGTACAAAATCTTGTATATTTGAAGGAATTTTACGATTTCCATAAATTTCTAGAACTTTTGAAGACTATTTTCATATATAGACACTGGTTAAAGTTTTATACAACGTTTCGACGTGTTTCCCCTGTCGTCCTCAGGCACATAATGATAAGAGGTGATGGGCAATATATATATACATTAATGCTTATTATTAAGAACATACAAGAGATAAATGGTTTATTGATACATATCATTAAATTTTAACAGGTACAATAAGAGGTACATTATTCTTCATAATAACATAATACATAATATCTAATAACATACATACTGATTACATGAAATAATAGAGAACAGTAAATGAATTGAAAAAGATTAATTGGCGAGAAAGGTGCTATCTCTACGAAGTACAACACTAATCTGACAAATAGCACATTCATTGTAGTAAGACGAACAAAAAAATATTTTGTCAAAGGAGATAAAGTATTTATAGATCATGATGTTTTTATTACTAATATTTATTATATTAGAGACTATAAATACAAGAATATAGTTTAGGTTTAGAGATTTAAATAATGTTTAGCGTATTTCTCCGTGGCCATTCTATCTGTTTTTTTATTCCGATTGACAGGAATCTTGTCCATTAAAATAAAATATCGTGGACAAGCTGTTACATGTTCCAGATCTTCAGGGACAAAACTATTCTTGCAGAATTCTTCTATTTGTTCCACGCTGTATTTTGATCCAGGAACCAGCACAACGCATGCGCATATCTCCTGATCTTCCACAACATCCGGGACCTTTACTACCATGACGTCATGGACCTCGGGACAACGTCTGATGACTTGTTCGATCCAAGTGGGATGAAAATAGTCTTCACCTCGGACAATGACATCTTTTGTTCGACCAAAAACTATCAGATCGCCATTTTTATTGAAATATCCCGAATCATTCATTATGAAAAATCCGTCAGAGTCAAAGGCGTCCTTAGTCAGTTTTTCATCTCCAAAATATCTTTTCATTAACCCCTTTGTTTTAACATGGATATTGCCGATAGTCCCGGGTGGTACTGGAGCATTATTCTCATCTCTGATGGTAATATCGACTCCGGGACAAGATACCCCTGTATTAAAATCTTCATATAGTGTATTTTTACTAATTGATTTACGGGCGTTCAATGTGGTCTCCGTAGACCCGTATAAATTGTATACAACATCGCAATGAGTTCGACAACAATCAACGACGGCGGCAGAAAGTGGTCGACCACAAAGAATACATTCTATGTGTTCTGGCATGTCTTGAGGTCTTCCTTTTTCTTCTAACACTTTGAAAAATTTCATTAAATAAAGATATTCTACGAACAGTAAATCGCATTTTTCTTGACTTAAGAGGTCATAAAGAAATTGGCCGATGAAAGGAATCAAAGGAGGATTTCGTTGGTCTATGTAAACAGATTTCAAGCCTGTAGATAGATAGTGGTGTGGTAAACCTGGTTGCCAACTTAATGAGTAACAATTCAACATCCCGTTTCTACATTTCGGTTGTACAGGCTCCATGAAGTATTTCATCATTAAATGAGAATGGATCACCATTTTGGACATCCCAGTCGTCCCAGACGTCAACAAAATAATAGCATCGGCATTACCATCGTAACAAATGACGTCATCATCTTCATTGTCATTTTGTGGTAGTTGATTGGCCCATTTGAATCCAATATTTCGGTTTACCTCTGTGTACAAGACGTGCTTGAGAAATGGAAGCTTCATGGAAGAAACTGAATTGCCGTCTCCATTGTCGATTATCTCTGAAAATAATTTCCTACATTCGTCTTTAGGATCAGACGATAAAATTAAGAGTGGACTTTTTGTTTTGCTGATGTTTTGAATCAAAAAAGTACCATCTTTAAGTTGACGTTTCCCATTTAGAATGACGCAACCTGCAAGGATGGTGCCAAAAAACACAATTATCCCGTTAGGAGAATCGGGTAATAGATTACTAATAACTTCTCCAGGTTGTATACCCAGTTTCCTAAGCTGCCTGGCGAAATACACAGACTGGTCTAAAATCTCCTTACACGTTAGAGAGGTCCTCAAACCATCCTTATCAACAAACACGAAGGCTTCTGAATTCGGATGAATCTTTGCCCAATGCTGTAATCTTTCTGGAATGTTGTAATTTTGGAGTGAACCTGGTTCCATGATCTGAAAGTATATAATAAGAATCTTGATTAGTAATTTTTAGCCTAATAAGGATTATGTAAGTGTAAATTTAAAGTAGCCAAATCACAAAATAAATCCGCGAATATTCAAGATGTCGCTGCTCATGTAAAGAATGCCAGAATCAACCATTGATTTTCCACTAAACTTTATAAGCAACAACTCATCTCTCTATTTCACACAAACAATATTGTGATGTTTGCATATTTTCCGGATTCGAAAAGGAGTATACAAAATATAGAAAACAAAAAAAATGCCAAGAACGAATGACGGTCGATAGCTTCACCAAGAACGGATATCTTCTATCTCTAGTCGTAATCCGGGATCTGCCGAGTATAAGGTAGGTAGGTAGATGACAAGTTAACGTTCGCTTCCAGCGGATGCTGATATCGCAAACTAGGTAGTTGTTGGTAGTCGTAGTAGTTGGTAGTTGGATTGTTGCCGAGTATAAGTTTTCCCTGTCCTTTTATATTGACCAGTCCTTTGTTACCAAACACATATACCCATTAGTCAGGTACACAAAACACCTCTGGGCCTAATCAAATTAATTACTATAGTACCCGCTGGGCCTGATATTAGAACGGGCCTAATTATTGACTTTAGTGCTTATAACACTAGTCAGGTAGATTGACACGTTATCTAATCTTTTATAACCACGAGTATCATTTCAATGAAGATCATTGTGTTCTTAGGCAATTAACAGCTTTCCTTGTGACATTAATCTTTAACAAGATTGCATTGTTATCCTCCCCTATACCCCTGCATTACAGAGGAATTCTTTTATATAGTTTTGACACCTGGTAAGTGGAAAGAGGGTAATGGGCACGTAAACAGGATACTGAACAAGTAAAGAATATAATGAACATGTAAAAAATATAATGAACAAGTAAAGAATCTAATGAACAAGTAAAGAATATAATGAACATTTAGAGAATATAATGAACATGTAAAGAAGATAATGAACATGTAAAGAATCTAATGAACATGTAAAGAAGATAATGAACATGTAAAGAAGATAATGCACATGTAAAGAAGATAATGAACATGTAAAGAATCTAATGAACATGTAAAGAATCTAATGAACATTTAGAGAATATAATGAACATGTAAAGAAGATAATGCACATGTAAAGAAGATAATGAACATGTAAGGAAGATAATGAACATTTCGAGAATATAATGAACATGTAAAGAAGATAATGCACATGTAAAGAAGATAATGAACATGTAAGGAAGATAATGAACATGTAAAGAAGATAATGAACACGTAAAGAAGATAATGAACATGTAAAGAAGATAATGAACATGTAAAGAAGATAATGAACATGTAAAGAAGATAATGAACATGTAGAGAAGATAATGAACATGTAAAGAAGATAATGAACATGTAGAGAAGATAATAAACAAGTAAAGAAGATTATGAACAAGTAAAGAAGATAATAAAGAAGTAAAGAAGATTATGAACAAGTAAAGAAGATAATAAACAAGTAAAGAATATAATGAACAAAACGTTTTGAAATGTAGGAGCTCACGATGTCAAGGTGTGGCCTCCGTTTCACACTAGGTTTACACTCGGTTTGACAACGGAGATTATACTTTGACATCGTGAAAATGAATTATCAAATAACGCTGCTTCCATTTCTCTTCTTTTCGTAAACAAATTCTGTGTACATCTACAATCGCGACAGACTCACATAAGCTTCAAGCTTGTCTCTGTATCGCACCATTAATTCACGTAATATGTATATTTGTTTGTATATTGTAAAGAGGATAAAGAACATGTAAAGAAGATAATGAACATGGAAAGATGATAATGAACATGTAAAGAAGATAATGGACATGTAAAGAGGATAATGAACATGTTAAGAAGATAATGAACAAGTAAAGATGATAATGAACATGTTAAGAAGATAATGAACAAGTAAAGATGATAATGAACATGTAAAGAAGATAATGAACATGTCAAGAAGATAATGAACATGTAAAGATGATAATGAACAAGTAAAGATGATAATGAACATGTTAAGAAGATAATGAACAAGTAAAGATGATAATGAACATGTTAAGAAGATAATGAACAAGTAAAGATGATAATGAACATGTAAAGAAGATAATGAACATGTCAAGAAGATAATGAACATGTAAAGATGATAATGAACATGTAAAGATGATAATGAACATGTAAAGAAGATAATGGACATATAAAGAGGATAATGAACATGTAAAGATGATAATGAACAAGTAAAGATGATAATAAATATGTAAAGAGGATAATGAACAAGTAAAGAAGATAATGAATATGTAAAGAAGATAAT